CTCAGCTGGGTGCCCCCATGCAGGGCACAACCTGTGCATCCATACCAGGCAGTCCTGCCAGTGAGATGAAGGGGACAGGTAGAGAACAGTGTTTGTGGACTGCAGCTGTGGGCCAGGCAACATGCTAAGCACTGCCGCCTCAAGGAGTACGTATTAGGATGTCTGTTTTATGAATGAGGCAACTGGCAGTGAGAGGGACAAGTGCATTGCCCTTGCTCACAGAGCTAGTCAGGGACAGCCTCAGAATTTGAAGCCAGAATTCAGCTCCTGAGGCTGGACTTCTTCCCCAGCCCCAGGGCCTAATGAGTCCACAGTGTGACACTGTGCTCCCTCTCCCCCCCACCCCCCAGTCTAGCCCAGCCTGGCTTGTAGGAACCCACTTCGCCCACATGGTCAGGCCCTGTGCTGGACGAGGAATTCTTGACTTTGCCAGGCCCTGGAGGTGAAGACAGGCCACAGGCCTCTCAGGAGACAGGGCAATTGAGGAAAGCCTGGGGCTCAGTGTGAGCACAGAGGCCCGGCCTTAGCCTGGGGCAGGACAGAAACGGTGGGAAGGCTTCCTGGAGGAAGGGGAAGTCCAAACCGATTTGACAATTCAGGGGCCCAGGAAAACACAGCTCGACCTTCAAGATAAGGAGGCTGCCAAGGGGGCTTTGGCCAAGAGGTGATCCCAGCGTCCGTGGGTTACACCATGGGGGTTGCTGCAGGATTCTTCTTGAAGAATCCCTTTGTGAGCTACAGCAGCTTCTGTCCTCTCCCTCTTGCCCCATTCTTAGGGATCCTTGTTTTATTCCCTAAGGATCCATCTAGAGTGGAAAGAACCCTGTCAGGAAAGCCCCCCCCCAAAGTCAGTGCAAATATCCTCTGCTGCTTAACGAGTTGTGTCATGGTGGGCATGTTAGTCTCCGTGGGGGGTTTCTGTTTCTTCCAATGGAGATTCCAGCCCTCATCTCTTATAGAGAAGATTCAATAAGGAATGTAGAAGGGCCACCATAATGCACTACAAATGGCTGGTTTTCATAATCATTAAAAACAGTTTCACAAAATCCCATTATTTCTTCCATATCTCCTAGGTGGCCTTGAACTCACAGGAGCAAATCAAGCACCTTAGAATTTCAGGACTGGGTGAGACTTCAGAGGTCTGAGTTCCCTGCCCCGCCCTGTCTGCTTGATTGGCAGTT